CTTGTTTTAACAGAAGATATTGAGCTTCTCCATTGCCTCTTTCCACAGATGTAGTTTATTTAATTTCTGTGTATTCCATCTTTCATCTGGTAAAGTCCATGTGTGTAGTCACTGTTTATGGTGTTTAAAAAAGAAATTTGAAATGAATAAGACACTGATATTGCACGATTTTATCAGGTGTTCTCCAATGTAATTTCTATCACCATGGTCTTATTTTCCAACTACTGATACATCTTCTTTGTTTCCAACTTTCACCACTAAAAACCTAATGAATAGATGTGAAATCCTTTCTGATATATTACTGGAAAACTTTATGAAGAGCTGTGAAACATAATGTGATACAGTGCCAGAAGATGAACCTCTCAGTTCAGAAAGCACTCAAAATATGACTGGGGAAGATTTGCCTCCTCAAAGTAGAGGCAGCCTTAATGACATGGATACAGTGAAGCTTTTGGCACCTTCATTTGCTGATGGAATATGACTCAAAATGGGAAGAAATAGCCGCAAACATTCTTTAATATTGAGTACATGGAATATATGAAGTATGAATCTAGGAAAATTGGAAGTTGTGAAAAATGAAACACAACCCATAAAGCTGTATATCCTAGAAATTTAAAAAAAAAAAAAAAACTGCCATCAAGTTGGATCCAACTAATAGTGACCCCTCCTTGGGTTTCCAAGGCAGTATCACTATAGAAGTAAATTGCCCAACCTTCCTTCCAAGGAGTGGCTGGTGGGTTTGGACCACCAGCCCTCTGGTTAGCAGTCTAATGTCTTAGGGACTACACCACCAGAGCTCCTATCCTAGACATTAGTGAGCTGAAATGTACTGGTATAGGCCATTTTGAATCAGAATATCTTATGGTCTACTATGTCAGTAATGACAAATTGAAGAAGAATAGTGTTGCATTCATTGTCAAAAAAAGAATATTGAAAGATCTATCTTGAAGTTCAATGCTATCAGTGATAGGATAATATCCATATGCCTACAAGGAAAACAAGTTAGCACTACTATTATTCAAATTTATGCACCAACCACTAAAGCAAAATGAAGTAATTGAAGATCTTTACCTAATTCTGCAGTCTGAAATTGACCAAACATGCAATCAAGATGTATTGATTATTGCTAGTGACTGGAATGCAAAAGTTGGAAACAAAGAAGAAGTACCAGTAGTTGGAAAATATGGCCTTGGTAAAATTGCTTATGATAGGATGAAAATAAATACATAAACAAACAAAACCAAAGACTTTTTATTTTTCTATTTTTGATCCCATCCTGAAGTGCAGAAAGCTGAATACTCCAATCGATGAGAAAAATGAAAATGTTAACATAATTAAAATTGTTTCTTATTTAAGATCTCTGCTCTTTAAAATTTATGATTAATTTAAAAATGCACAGAAAGTCCTTTACTAAATCATATTCCTGACCTTTGGATAGACAAACATTTCTTCAAGTGGTCACAAATATGCATTAAATGAAAGAAAAATATTGCTAACTTGTGCTTAATTAAATACAAGAATATTGTGTAACAAACTTTCCAATAAAATAGTGAATAATCAATCCAATAATTGGGAGATGACATTATCATTACATATAACAGTTAAAACACTCATATTCAGAACATATTAAAAGAATGTATTAAAAGTCAATACAGCAATCATAACACTATATTTAAAAAATTAAAAGCAAAAACTTAACGTAATACTATAACAAAGAAGAATAGTCAATAAACATAAGAAAAATATATCACTGTGATTCATCAGAGGAGGTCTGGTAACATAGTGCCTAAAGCATTTGACTGCTAGCTAGAAGGCTGGTGGTTCAAACCTACCAGCCACTCCTCAGGAAGGAAAGTAGGGCAATCTACTTCCATAGTGATACCACCTCGGAAACCCAAGGAGGGGTTGCTATGAGTCAGGTCCAACTCGATGGTACATAACAACAACAACATGATTTATTACAAATGGTAATTCAAATTATGGTGCTGCAGATACCCCTTTGACCCAAGCAGGATGGCTAAAATTAGAAGGACTCCTAAGGTATAATCTTCTTCTTTTCACTCAGCATAAAATACTGAATATTCTATATCCAAATTTTATTAACAAATCATGTTAGTATAGGATTCTTTACCATCCAAATTATTGAACATTTATTTCTGTAATATTTTAAAATTGCAAGTAGTACTATGTATGTAATACAAATTATTATATAATTGTAAATGTATGTAAATATCTATAAAATGTAAGGTTTATAAAATATGATAGACTATATTTACTTATTTACATTTGAATCTCCTGCATTAAACAGGCTACTTGTCACTGACTACATTCTTTAAATGATGTATTTAATGAGTAAATTATGGTTAACCAGAAAAAGTCTTTAGAAATTAAATCACTTGACATATTGGTCATTATATTGACTTCTAAATATTTATGTTAGCAAAGATGATTAATGTAGATCAATCATGGTAAATAGAATCCCTTTATTGGTAGCATGTTTAGAAACAGCAAAAAAAAAAACAAACTCATTGCCATAGAATAGAACCCAACTCATAGCAACCTTTCCATGGGTTTCCGAGGTGGTAACATGGTTTCTGAGTTGGTATCACCACAGAAGTAGATTGCGCAACCTTCCTTCCAAGGAATGGCTGGTGGGGTTGAAGTGCCTTCTGGTGAGCAAATACCTTAGGCACTATGCAACCAGAGCTCCCCCAATTTATAAAGATACTGATAAGTATATTATATTCCATTGTAATTGAAGTCAATTTATATCATGGTTTTCTATTATGTGTTGGTTTTCTATTATGTGTAACCCCAGACATCATACCAGCATGGTGACTATAAACATATTTAAGACAGTTACTATATAATGCTAAAATTATTTTTCACAAATATTCTGCCAATTTATATTTCAGTGAATCATGTGTGACTCATTGCATGCATGCATAAACTAATTGGGTTCCCTAGATGTGCTCCATTCCCTTGTTCAGTTCTATCAATTAAGTTGTTTGCTCGTTTGTACACATCAATATAGTATCCTTTTTTTTTTTTTTTTTTGACTATTTCTATTCGAGACTTCTCTTTGATTGTTTTTGACAGACAATGAAGACTAAAGGCGTTTATTGTAAACTCTATTAGATTATACTATAACTATTAGGGAACCTTTAAGTTCTTTAATTCTTTCTAAAATTGATTCGTTCAGCAGACATTTATTGAGTAGTTGCATTGTATGAGTTACTTTTTGAGACATTGAATGGAATAATAAAGTAATATCAAGTTCATTATGGCCTGGTGAGAGAGAATAGCAATTATTGCAAGTTATTGCAATATTAATTTGTAATTAAGAAAACTAAGCATAAATACACAGCAAACAAACAAAAAAATGAGTGTATAATGGTTTCAAGGATTTGTGGGTAACCATTGCTATAAGAACCAACGTGTGTGTTTTTTTAAATAAGATTATCATTAAACAACAGAGATTTTAAAAAATGAAATGCAAATACCAGAAAATTGGTGTATCACTGTATCACTGGTATTTGTTGTTGTTGTTGTTATGAGCCCTTGAGTCAGACCCAACTCATAGCGACCCCTCCCTGGGTTTCCGAGGAAGGTTGGGCAATCCTACTTCCGTAGTGATACTGCCTCGGAAACCCAAGGAGGGGTCGCTATGAGTCGGGGCCGACTCGATGGCACATAACAACAACAACAACAACAACATGACTATGGAAGTAGATTGCCCAACTTTCCTTCCAAGGAGTGGCTGGGTGGGTTTGAACTGCCAGCCTCTGTTTAGCAGTGAATTTGAAATGGAGAGAAAGAAAATAAGTCTTGAAAAATAGGAAGATTTAGATTGTAAAGGTGTTTATAAAATAACACTTCTATCAAATGAGCAGAAAGCATATTAAATGTGATAACTAAGCTGAAGTTGGGAAGGATGCTTGGCATGGAGACTATAGCAAAAATCTAAATGGCATATGCTGGTCACTAGTAATTAGATAACAACCTTGGGGACAAAAATAAAGGAAAACAACTATGAAATATTTCTGAAATGAAAGTGAGTAGTCTGACTCACTGAAAGAGAATGGTAACAAAGGGTCTCTAGAGATGGAGTCATTACATAGTTGATAACAGTACATGAGGTCACAGAAAGTTAGGAAGAGAAACATCTGATTGAGATGAAGATGATCTGAGCTGAGATAATGTAAGATCATGATGACAACTTTCCACATATTTCCAATGAGGAAAGAATAAATTATATATATAATTATTCTGAAATTTAAATTATTCCCAAATTTTAATTTAGAGGATGAGGGGTAGAGTTAAAACTTCTATATGGAAAAACATAAAAATACAATTATAAATAAAATTAGTTTAGTTTAGTTTTGTTTTTTTCAAAATTCATTGAATAATATTTTCAGGGCAATCAAACTGTTTTTATAAAATCTCAACAAAATGTGCATTGATCTTCAGTGTATAAATATAAATAAAAGTGCAGGATTTGTTAGTAATATAATCCCTGTGATCAGATGAACACAGAAAAAGGAAGAAAGGAGATAGAGAGGGGAGGTGTGAGGCAAGGAGCGAGAAACAAAGAGGCAGACTTGGAGATAAAGAGGGAGAGAGAAAAATACGTAAACATAATGGCAAGAATGAAACAAAGTGACTAAAGAACAAAAGAATGTGGCAAATTCTCTAAATTGAACTTTAAATCTACAAACATCGATGATCAAAATGCACATATAACATCTCTGTTGGGCCTTACTTACCACTTACTGCATAATTGGATATTAAACCTTAATTTTTCACTTTGTTTTTTTTAAAAAAAGCCTTTGAGTAGATTCAGACTCATAGCCATCTTATAATCATTAAAATATTTACAGAAGGGAGCCAATATAAATAAGCTTTTCTGTCAAGCACAATTAAACTTAGTTAATATTACAAGGTGTTTTTTCTTTTCCCAAAGATCCATCTCATATGTATTTGGTTTTATTCCTTTCCCACTATTTCTGTAATAGTATTTTCTTCACATGGTCATAGATCTGCTTTGTTCTGACTCCATAGATAACAGGGTTGAGCATCGGAGGCACTATGACATAAAGATTGGCCAGAAGTATATGGATATACTGGGGGACATTCCTGCCAAAACAATGTGCCATAAAGGAAAAAAAGGCTGGCATATAGAAAGCAAGAATGACACAAATATGTGAACCACATGTCCTGAGAGACTTGAGTCGGGCTTCACGGGACAGTAGACGGAAAACAGCACGCAGTATCTGGACATAGGAAATAGCAATGGCTATGTCAAAAACCAGGATAGAAATAGCACTCAAGCCATAGATAATATTGGCCTTGATACTGGCACAAGACAGGCGAGCAAGACCCATGTGTTCACAATAGGTGTGGGGTATGACATGATTCCCACAGAAGGGTAGTCTCAGTATCAGAAATACAAATGGAATAATGGAAATGAACAACCTCACTAATACTCCAAGACCGATCATAGAAACAACCTTGTTAGTGAGGATGGTGCTGTATCGGAGTGGGTTGCAGATGGCCACATAGCGATCATAAGCCATTGCCAAGAGAACTGCTGACTCCATGCCGGTGAAGTTGTGGATGAAAAACATCTGGGTGAGGCAGGCACCAAAGACTATCTCTCTAAGATTGAACCAGAAGATACCAAGCATCTTGGGGATGGTAGCTGTGGAGAGGCCCAAGTCAATGGTGGCCAACATGGCCAGAAAGTAGAACATGGGCTGGTGCAGGCTGCTTTCACTCTGGATCACAAACAGAATGGTGAAGTTCCCTAAGAGTGCAATCAGGTACAGAGCAAAACAAGGAAAGCCAATCCAGATGTGAAGTGTTTCCTTTCCTGGGATTCCCAGCAGTAGGAAGGATGAGGGGTGGAATTGGGTGTCATTGAGAAGGACCATCCTGCTTGATAATGCATAAGTCCACGTGTGCTTGCCCAACGTGCAGGACACTAGATAGAACCTTGATGGTCTGGATACCTAGAGAAAAATAAGAGCATCATACATTTGTGTAAATTCTCTTCCTCAATTAAGTCAATTCAGTTAAAATTAGAATTATAATAAGTAAGGAGCTTCAGTGACATAGTGGCCAAAACATTTGGCTTCCAACCAAAAGTAGTTCAAACCTACCAGCTCCATAAGAGAAAAATGAGGCAATCTGCTTCTGTAGATTTACAGCCTTGGCCATCCTATGGGGCAGTTCTACTCTGTCCTATAGGGTCACTATGAGTCAGAATTAATCTGATGGCAGTGGGTTTTGTTGTTGAGGTACAGAGAACTGTAAAGAAGTGATATCTCAATAATAAGGCTCTAGAAGAAGTTATACAATAGATTAAAATAAAAGTTCTACATAATATGTTTTTCTTTGTTAGTTATCTTCTTCTGTTTATTGGCAATGGCCTCATCACTACAGTATGCTAAGAGATTGCCTTAACAACTATTTAATAGTTACCTTCTCTCATCATCACCAACAAAATCATGTTCAATTTTGAGAAACCTAGGGCTCTTCTAGACCCTGTACGTAGTGACCTTTATCCGTCCCAGTTTCTTGGATGATAGCATAGGTGTTAATACACAACATTGGTAATGACTTGTTAAAGAACACATAGACTTATAAAATGTACCATAGATTTTTTTAAAGATTAAAATTGGCCCAGATATTAATATGCATTCATTTTTACTATTAAATAAAAAACTAAAGGTAGTAAAATTGGCAACATCAACTACTATTTATTAAGGGACTGCCTATTATATAAAGAGCTCTGGTTGTGTAGTGGTTGAGGCATTTAGCTGCTAACTGGAAGGTTGGTGGTTCAAACCCACCAGCTGCTCCATGGGAGGAAGATGAGTCAATCTACTTCTGTAAATACGTACACCCTTGGAAACCCAATGAGGGTCTCTGTAATTCAGAATCAACTCAATTTTGATTTGGCAGTGAGTTTGGTTTGGTTTTGGTCTTACCTAATATATGCAATGCTTGATAACAAAATCTGTGCAAATGAAATCTCCACTATTTATAAACATATGTACAAGAACATATTTTAACTCTGTTTTACATAGGGGATGAGAATTTCAAATAGTTAAAGAGACTTATCAAATACTCAAAATGCTTAGAGTAATAGAGATGGAGAAAAAATTTTAGGGAAGAAAGAAATTAAATAAAATGGAAGAAGAATAGAGAGTAAGCAAAAGATAATTTAAACCTTATTCATGTTACATATACACAGCTTCTTCTCCACCCACATGTTCAGACAAGCGCATAATCTTTTTTAAAAACTCATATCCTTTTGAATAAGACATATCAGTATCTTTATTTTAAAGTTAAAGCAATTGCAATTTTAAAAGTTTAAATATGTTGAAGAAAAGGCTAGATGAAAAAAAAATCAGTACTAAATTGTTAGGAGCAAATGAAATCTATCAGTTTCAAGGTTACATAAATGGTTCTTACATATTTTCATAACCCTTAACGTAGATTAGAGGAGTATTTCCAAAGCATCCAATCAGGCATTATGTGCAGTTGTTTTGTAGTAAAAAGTATCTCTTTTGATAATTTCATATCATTTGAGGATTTCTTAGGAGCCACAATAATTGTGATCACAGTTTCAGTAAGACAATCAAATGATTACATATTCATTGATATTTAGGAAGCAAAGTCAAGAAGAGTAAGAAAAGGAAGAGGTGATAGAATCAACAGTACACTATGGGTGGGGAGACAGGGGACTCTTAGCAAGAAATGGTGAATATCAGCAGAGCTAAGGAGCAGCAAAAGATGCTGTGTGCAGATGACATTCTGTGCAAATTCTTTAGGAACAGAGGTTTACTCCATAATTTCCTGGCCTTTCAATGTAATGGTAAAAACATTTAAAAGGTGTGATGATGTATAACAAAAGGAGTGAAACTAGAATTCAATCAATGGAGCAAAATGTTCTGTGAATTATTAGTGTAAATGTCAATGGCAGGCTGACTTATTAAATAAAACTTCCTATATTCCATATAGGAGCTCTGGTAGCGTAGTGCCTAAGGCACTTGACTGCTAACCAGAAGTCTGGCAGTTCAAACCCACCAACCACTCCTCGGGAGGAAGGTTGGGCAAT